AAAGATCGATTTACTTAATAAAAACTTAGCAAAAATAATGTTTCATTGTACCGCCATTACTTTCGCCGGGGACTGTACATGATTAACTGCGATCGTATTTAACAAAGAACTTTTATTGATCGTGATTAATCAAATTTTTAATAATAGATCTGGGATTTTTTGAAATGATTTGGTAATTACAAGGAATCAAGAGATAATTAGATTAATAATAATGAACATTATATTATATTTGTGATAAGCATTACAATGACCCAATTTATTTCTGGGCTATTATTGAATTATAAGCTACTTCTAATAACTTTTTATTTTTACTGCTCAATTTATAAAAGTCTTTAAGTAATTAAATAATTTTATCTTGAATCTCTGCTGCAACTTGTTTGGTACAAATGGGATTATCTTACATAATAACATTTTTCATTTTTAATCATATCTGAATTATCTTTGTCACGTAAATCTTCAGGAAATTTTGTTATCTTGATCAAAAATAACTGATTACATTTATTTTCCCTTTCCTAAAACTTCCATTGGTAGCGAATAAGATTTAACAAAATCTGTCTTTAATATCATCATCAGTAGTTTCTGCAAATTTATATTTCTTGAAAAGTTAACCTTCAATCACCAATTACCATTAGTATTATTGATTACATTAGTTAAAGTTACCCTTCCACTTTCTACTCTACCAAATAATAATATTTTTATAGTTTAACTCTTCATTTTTTTGGTTTCTTATTGTTTTTTTCAAGTTATGATTCATGCTTAAATGTGTATTTGGTAATGTGCCATCATTTTCGACTTTTTTATTTGATTTGAAAAATGATCCAAGTTTTGATTAATGATGATGCCAAGAATTTTATTAATATTGAGGATCACTGCTTATAAAGGAAATAATGTTTTTTTTTACAAATGTAGATAATAAAATCACTTTAAAAACAATATTAATATGGGATTGGAAGGAAGCCGAAATTTTTTAACAGCATCTTTTATGAATATTTTATTCATCGTAACCTTCAAAAAAATTACAGAGACCATTTTTATGTCGCTTTAAAATAATTACATATTGAAAAACTACTCGCACTACATTAATAATAATATTCATGAAATAATGCAACCGTCCTCTCGTAATTTCTTAATTATTTCATCGTCGTCCATCTTCCAGCTTATTCCTTTCTGTAAACTTTTTTTATGCGTCATATAATCTCCTATTTTTGTAACCATCATTTCTTGTAACTTTTCTGGTACATAAACTTTTGTGCAAGTCTTCAAGTAATTTAATAATCTTTTCCTTGATTCTTCTGCAAATTGTTTAGTACGCTTTGTTATTGGTGGATTATCTATATGAATAACACTTTTGCATGATTTAACAAATAGAGAAAGTTTATCATTCTTAGAAATCATAGCTTGATAATCTTTTTCGCATTCAGCATCATCTATGAAGTCAGGAAAATTCGTCCTAACAATAGTAGTATACTCAAAAATACTTTTATCAAAAATAACTGATTCTAACGTTTCAAGCGCATCTATTTCTATATCGGTAAATCTTCCATTACTAACAAATAAAATCTGATTAATCTCGTATTTAATAACTTCAGCAGCGATGGCTAATTTAGTTAGTACGTCTTTTGATGACATTCTAGTGTTTCCAATTCCCACGGTGTCAACTATTTTGTACAATTTTCCATCAATCACATAATGATGAACATTAGTATCTTTGGTCGATCTAACTGAGTGATGACCTACATCAAAATCATCCGAACCGCTGATTACATTTGCTAAGGTTGATTTTCCACTTCCTGTACTTCCAATTAATAATACCGTTATTATATCGATGATTTTATGATCTCTACCATCATTCATATTTAATGATGAAAATTTCTCCAACTCCAACATTTTTGTTATTTATTAAAATATCAAAGTCACTTTATTTATACATATTGTTAAAATCCTAATTACAAATCAATTATCATATCTGCATGCAAATCATGTTGTTTAAAGTTTAATTTACTAAAAAGTAACACGTCATATACTCATCAAAACAATTGGATTGATTACGAGTATTTGGATTCTAATTTAAATCTATCAAGTAAACAATATTAATAATTATTCAATTCTTTTAAGTAAACAATATTAATAATTATTCAATTTTTTATAACACCAGCCAATTTTTGATATATGGAAACAATTATTTGTAAATAAAAATGTTTAAGTGTTGTTATTACTAATATTTAGCGAAAATACCAGTTTTTCTTTAAATTAAGTTTGAGATGGTTGGTTATTTTGTTATGATGAAATTCTACACTGGTTTTCGAAATCGAAATACCCTTGGAGAAATTGAATTGAAATTGGTCTTCGAGATTAAATTAACCATTTATAAATAAATATCCTTTTGGCTTATGCATTCTTTAAGCTACGACAAATAATGATAATTCTACAAACTCGAATTTTTATTTGTCAGATTCAAAATGTCTGGATGACCACCAAAAGTCGTATAAAACTATAAACAACATTTGTATTTTTTAAATATTTCCTTCTAGATAGTCTTTATTTGCAGAGGAAAAAAAACGCGCTATTTTTTAAAAGGCAACTTTTAGAAAATATGTTTATTTAATTTCGATTTCGATTTCGATTGTTCATCGAAATCGAAAACTATTACTATTACTATTACTATTACTTTTATATCATAACGAATCAAGAATCACACCAAAATTATATATGTGAAACATTAAATATTACGAAATGTTACAAAAACAACTAACAAAATCACTTGGTGTAATAGGAATTTCTTTAAAGAAATTCTTCAAATATTCTTTATATGTAATTTTCGACCCTTCCACATCTGTAATGTGATCTTTTATTCTACCATTCAAATTATCTAACTTTGGTGGATAATAAACTTTTGTGCAAGTTTCCAAGTAATTCAGTAATTTTTTTCTTGATCCTTCTCTCATCTCTTCTGCGACTTGCTTCATACGACCAGTTATTGGTGGATTATCTACATGAATAACCTCTTTGCATGATTTGACAAGTTGAGAAAGTTTCTTATTTTCTTTAATCATATCTTGATAATCATTTTCACACTCGGCATCATCTTCAAAAACAGGGAAATTCGTTCTAACAATTGTAGTATACTTAAAAGCATCTTTATCATCAAAAATAATTGATTGCAATAAATAGTAAGCGTCTATTTCTTTTTCTCTAAATCTCCCATTGGTAACAAATAAAATTTGGTTTATTCCATCTCTAATTTCATCGGTAGTTTCTGCAATTTTATATAATATTTCTTGTGAGGTTAATTTTCTATCACCAATCCCACCTGTATCAATTGCTTCATATTATTGGCATTATTGATTACATCAGCTAAAGTCGTCTTTCCGCTTCCTTTTCTACCAAATAATAATATTTTTATAGTTTCAACTTCTTCGTTATCAGGTTTTTCATTTGCTTCTTCATTTGCATTCGAAGACATGTTAAATTTATTTTCGCTCGATGCTGATATGTTATCATTTTCAAAAATATTTTCATTTGTATTTGAAGATGCCATTTTTTTTTTTTTTGATAAACATTCCAACAAATTAGAAAAAGAAATGTATGCATATATATATATATATTGTTGGTACAATACTAATTCAAATAGGGAGGGAAATTACAGTATGTTTATTTTTAAATAGATTTAGCAGAATGAAGGTTTTTATTCTAGATCGAAATTTTATTTTTTAAAATATAAATTTTTAAAATAAATAAACATTTTATGAAATAATACAACTTTTTTCTTGTAATTTCCTGACTTTTTCCTCTAAATCGTTTACTTCTTGCTGTAATTTTTCTTTGTTGGTCATGTAATTTCCTACCTTTTCATTCATAGTTTCTTGTAACTTTTCTGGGATATAAACATTTGTGCAAGTATCCAAGTAATTTAATATTTTTTTTCTTGATTCTTCTCTGCACTCTTTACCAACCGCTTCAAACCGACCAGTTATTGGTGGATTATCTACATGAATAACATTTTGGCATGATTCAACAAGTTGAGTAAGTTTATCATCCACACAAGTTGTATCTTGATAATCTTTTTCACACTCAACATCATCTTCAAAATCAGGAAATTTCGTTCTAACGATAGTAGTATAATCAAAAACTTTTTTATCAAAAACAACTTCTTGCAATGTTTCAAAAGCTTCGATTTCTACATCAGTAAATTTTCCACTGGCAACAAATAAAATCTGATTAATTCCGCACTTAATAGCTTCAGCAGCCATAACTAATTTATTTGCTACTTCCTTTGGTGGCATCCTACTGTCTCCAATTCCTACAGTGTCGATTATTCTGTATATTTTTCCATTGACCGCATAATTACGAGAATTAGTATCTTTGGTTGAACTAACTGAACGATGGCTTGTATCATAATCTTCAGAACCACTGAGTACGTTTGCTAGAGTTGATTTTCCACTTCCCGTACTTCCAACTAATAATATTGTTATGATTTCGATGTCTTTATTATTTTTATTTTTATTTTTATTATCGCCATCATCGTTATTCATATTTAATGATGCAAGTTTGTCCAACATTTTCATTATTTATTAAATATCAAAAAAGTCAATTTATTTATATATATATCGCTTAAAATTTTAAAATTAAAATCAATAAATATGCTTGCATGCAATCATATTGTTTAAAGTTTAATTACTAAAAAGCTTATCTAAGACACCATATATACTCATCAAAAACAACTAGCTTCATCATGAGGCTTAAATTCTAATTCCATTTATAGAGTAGAAGAAGAATAAACAATCCTAATAACCATTCAATTCTTTTATGATATATGGAAACAATCACTTGTTATTATTCCAAGTAAAAATGGTTTAAAGGTTCGAAAGCATTAACATTAAACAATCAAAGCCGTTCGAAAATACTGGTTCGTGCGAGTATTTTTTGATCCATTAAAAAATTACGAGAAAGCTACTTATCTTTATACAGTATTTTATCAATTATTATATCAAAATACTCTTGATGTTCTTTAAGTTAGAACAATAATATTTCTATGCTTTTTTTCCAGATTCAAAAGGGTTCGGAAGACCACCAGAAGTCATATCAGAACTTATAAAAAACTATAAACAACATTTGTCTTTTTTAAAATTATCAAATATTCTTTCTATATCTCCTATTTTTTGTTTGCTTGTTTTCAAGTATCTCATTAAAGGTGGAGAGAAAAAAGTACATTATCTTTTAAAAAGGTTAACTTCTAGGAAAATTTTTTTCGATCCTCGATTTTAATTATGATTATCGAAATCGAAACAACTATTTTGCCATCACGCATTAGTATTAGTGTATTATGTTTAATTCCAATTTTATTATTTTATTAATATTTCACATGCTAAATATTGTTCAATTCAATAATTAAAATAATAAATATGCCAAAAGAAATCAAACAAAAACTAAACCTGTCGAAAAAGATAATTTTTTTATTCTTTTTGTTATTTCTTTTTTTAATAATACTAATTCATGATTTCAATATTCATGAAAATTTCAAAACAAGAATCCAAAAGAAGAATTCGTGAAAATTTATTGTTTTATTTCTAAAGCAGTAAAACAGTTTTTTAATTTAAACATAACTACGTAGTCAACTCTGTTGAACCAAAATTGGTTCCAGAAGCGGTAAATCCACCGCCGTTAAAACCAAATTGCTAACTAATACCTTAATATTAATTTTAATTTTGAATGGAATAACGGGTTGACAATGTGGTTTGTGGCCTAGTACCAGGCCCTATAAATTACGCGTGCAAAGTTTCTATCGAAATTTCAATCAATAAATAGAAAAATCAGGAAACACGAAATTTTGCATGCATATTCTACAGGATAGACTACAAGCTAAATATTTTTATATGTAATTGATTAAATATACTGGTCGCAAATATTGGTCATGGTTGCAATCATGGGTGCAATTATGAAGTGGTTGCAACCAAATGCCGCAAGTCGCAAACCATGCCGCAAGTCGCAAACCATGTCGCAATTAGTGTTCCATGTCGCAAGTCGCAAACCATGTCACAATCCAAAAAAGGAAACCAAGTGGTCGCAAAGGTGGTGCGCAAACCACTTTTATATGTCGCAACCATCATCAAAAGTATCTATAGTAATAGTCTCAAGTCACAAACCATGTCACAATTGTCTCAAGTCACAATCAAAATTTCAAATAATGCAAATTGCAAATAACATGCTAATAAAAAATAGTACCTCTGGTTAGTTATTAACACGTTTCTTTAGGAGACCCAAACCAAACCAAACAACAACACTCATGTTTTGTCACCTTGGACTCTGTCAAAAAATAAATTGTTTTTCCAAAAAAAAAATATCAATTCACGTCTGCCCTACCAAAAAAAAAAACCAATGGGATAAATAATTAATGTGTACACATCAATCAAATAACAAACTTCTTTTTAAAAATGTCAAACAACAGATTCAAAAAAGAAGCAGACAAGAAAATACCGGTGCTATCAGAGAGGAAGTGTTTTAAGAAGGATGGTGGTGGTGGTTATCGCCCGCCACTCGTCATTACTCTAGTTAATTTATTAATTTACTTGACAATAATATTTGAGAAATAGATCATGATAATAGCAACAATAATGATTGTTTATCAGAACAACACAAGAAATCTTCGACATGATTATTCATAAAAAACAGAACACATTCATTACAGGTGGAGCAGGTAATTAATAGTCACGTGTTTGATTTAATGGTATGATGCAATAACAGATAATGGACAAAGTTTGATTATTAATTAAGTTCATATCCAAATGACAAAAAACAAATTTAGGATTAGAGAGGTTTAATTACAATAACCTAATTCTTTAATACAAGTTTAATAGTTAGTTTAAATAGACATTAAAATACCATATCCAACTACATTACAGCACATAAATATAATAATAATAGGAAATTTTAAATTCATTTTGCACACATTAAATGAAATAATATCAATTCATTCTAATATTACTACAGTCACAGAAGTAATTACAGATCTTTTATTATTACCAACACTACAAAACCTAAAACATTTGACATTAGTAATTAGTCATTGTAGAAATACAAAACATTTTTAATACTATTATATTTCCAATATTGAATATGTCTTTAGGTTTTTTATTAAAAATAATGGAAGTAACCTTAAAATTCTGTCAATTGTTATTATTTTAGGTTCTGGTAAAAGCTTCCTGTTAATGAAAATTATTTTGATAATAGCAACAATAATGATTGTTTATCAGAACAACACAAGAAATCTTCGACATGATTATTCATAAAAAACAGAACACATTCATTACAGGTGGAGCAGGTAATTAATAGTCACGTGTTTGATTTAATGGTATGATGCAATAACAGATAATGGACAAAGTTTGATTATTAATTAAGTTCATATCCAAATGACAAAAAACAAATTTAGGATTAGAGAGGTTTAATTACAATAACCTAATTCTTTAATACAAGTTTAATAGTTAGTTTAAATAGACATTAAAATACCATATCCAACTACATTACAGCACATAAATATAATAATAATAGGAAATTTTAAATTCATTTTGCACACATTAAATGAAATAATATCAATTCATTCTAATATTACTACAGTCACAGAAGTAATTACAGATCTTTTATTATTACCAACACTACAAAACCTAAAACATTTGACATTAGTAATTAGTCATTGTAGAAATACAAAACATTTTTAATACTATTATATTTCCAATATTGAATATGTCTTTAGGTTTTTTATTAAAAATAATGGAAGTAACCTTAAAATTCTGTCAATTGTTATTATTTTAGGTTCTGGTAAAAGCTTCCTGTTAATGAAAATTATTTCTGTTCTGCAAGGTATGTATGGCATTGAAAAAGTAGCAGTGACCGGTTCAACTGGAATTGCTGCTTCAACTATCAATGGTGTGACAGTTCATTCATTCTCAGGTATTGGATTTGGTGTTGAAACTGAAGAAGATTTAATTAAAAAAATAAATTTATCTAAAAATAAATACATTGAGTGGAAATCAGTAAGAGTGTTAATTATTGACAAAAGTGAGTTATATATTTATTTTACATTTACGTTTTATTATACATTTAACAATGTAATTTATTATATCGGATTTCATAATAATAAATAGTATCTATGGTTGATTGAGAAATTTTTGACAAGCTGGAAGCGATTGCAAGGAATATTCATCAAAATGACAAACCATTTGGAGATATAAAATTGAAATATAATACTAAAAAAAAGTAAATTAGTAACCAATACTTATACTTATGTATATATAAATTTAATATTAGCTAGTTCTTTCTGGTGATTTTTATCACTCATTAATTTGTCTCTTTGCTGTCATTAAGTTTAATAAGTTTAATCTTTTTTCCACTTTTAAAGTAAAAAAGTACTAAAATAATTTATATACTTAATACACCCTTATAAAAAGGATATAAGTATATTAAAAGAATATATAAAAAAAAGAACAAACATGGTAAACATTATAAACAAACAACAACAAGCAAACAAAACACTAATAAATGAAA